TTTCAAACCTTAAAATTGATCTTTAAAATACTTTAATAAATTAGTTTTAGTTATAAGCAAAATCTACTAAATCGACACTAGTTTGACAAAATTAGTAATATATTATGTTCATCGTATATAGTATATGTATAGTATATATATAGCAATTATTCATTAATAACCGCAAAATTCAATCTACATATATTCAAGCTGAAACTAATTGTAGAAAAAAACCAATTAGTAATATTATTTTTCGTTTAAAGTACATAATGTTACTCATTGATCTTTTTGTTGATTAGTTTCATGAAATAATTTGATTTTTTTTGAAAAGTTAGAAAATTTGGCACACTCAACCCACACTTAAGTCATAGTTGCAAAACAACAGATTTTAACAATTAAGATACAAAAATAATGAGAACATTAAAGCAAATTTAATTTTATATATACCTTTTTTAAAATGATATTAATTTTAATTGAAATATGTACAACTTTTGAATTAAAAATGTGGTTATTTTAATTGCATACAAATTTTTAAATTAAATAAATTATTAATTAATGGATTACATATGTACAACAACACTTAAATAATTCTGTTTTAATGTAGGCAGCCATTAGTCACCGTGTACAATGAATAAAATGTCATTTTATATAAAAACATATTAGTATTGTTGAGATATTATGTACAGAATAAGTATCTAAAAAAATGCAAAACTCAAAAAATAAATACAAATAAAATGTATATAATTTTAAAATAAATAAAACAAAATATCTAAAAGTTTTTTTTTTAAATTAAATAAAATGCTTAATTTAATTCAACTAAAAGTTAATATAATGTATGCAATATATGTATGTATGAGGTCAGATTGCTGTTTTTATTTGAGAATCTTGAACTGTTTTAAATTCCCAGTGAAAATTGTCATTAACTTTATCTAATGTGGCATATTAAAATTGATGTAGTTACACATATGGCAGAAGGTGGATTTAACTTTTTGTACGTGTCTGTTGCATTGCTATAAGCCATGATTTATATCCAAATAACTCCCGAGAGATATATTTCACATGAACATATTTTATCCTTAATGTGCTTATTAAAATACTTTTTTTTGAAAGTTTGCACATTTTATAGGTATTTCTTAACATAAAGAACTCAATGATGTTATGATATATAACAAAATATTTTAAAAACATTTTTCAAAACTTAATAAAATAAAATATATAAATTTGACTTTTAAAAAGTTAAGTAAATTCAAGTTTATTTATTAATTTAATTTATTTATGAATTTTATTTTGATTTTAATAAATTGCAATAATGCAATGAAAAATATACAACTGTTTCCTTATTATTATTGTTAGGGAATGTGGCACTGCGACCGTCAGTTCTATTGAGCCCCCTTTCGAGTTTAGAGTAGTTCTCTAAGCCCTATTGCGTCAGTAAAGAGTAGTATAGAACCTACTTTACAGAGTTTTATTGCCTCTTCCGTAAGAATATACATTCCCGGAAGCCTATTCCGTATGTACATTAGCGCAGGCCATTCTAATAGCACTTATGTGGCCGATTCCTCATTCTCTTCCCAGAATTTACAGTTTGCATCCGTAAGTTTATTCAGTTTTATAAGGTGATGTTTTAGTCTACAGTGCCCTGTTAGAATTCCAGTAATGATTCTAAGTTTTTTTAAGTTTATAGGTTCACACAATCCTGGTATCTCTTATTGCTATAGATACTAATAACTGATTTGAATTGCTTCAATCCTGGTATATCTCAGTAAACCTTTTTATTCTGGTTCTCCTTTATTTTTATCGGAGAAAAGAGCATACTATATCCTAGTCAACAAAAGGTACCGGCCTGGTCATCGGTGTCGTTTCCGCATACGCCAGTATGTCCCGGTACCGAAAGAATCGACACCTGATTGTACTGTCTCCTTATTGTATGAGAAATTCGGAATGAGGTAAAACAAAACTTAGTTCTTAGGAAGAGATATTTCTAATAATTTAGGTACAAAGTGCAAAGCAAATCTCTTTTCGAAAAAAAATTACATCAGACCATCTTAAAACTAAAAGAAAGAAATTTTATATCTATGAGATAATTTTTAGGTTTAGTTTTACATTACTGGCACTAAGAAATCCATTTTTGACATTTGGAAATAAATTTTTGTGTATAATTTTTAAAATTAAAATTAATTATTTTAAATTATGCTCAAAAGTCTCTTCATCAGTTCTTATAAAAATAATTTTATTAAATTTTTTAACACTAAATTTTCATTATTAGTTGTTTTTACGTATTTCCGAACCTTAATTATATTATCTTTAATTTTTTTCCATTATATATTAATGATTTTAATTTCTGTATATATAAATTTATATATGTTTGGCGCAAATTTAAATGGGCTTGTACTTACGATACGATATAATAAAGTAAAATAATTTCTGTATGATGCAATCGTTCAATCAATCACTGTAATAAAGAAAATAAACAGAATTAACGTTTGATTATTATTGTCATTATCATTTCAAGATTATGGATGATTGTTGGCATTAACATTTTTATAAAAACATTTCAGCTCATTCATAACTAACAATGGCAAAAACACCATTGATGATCTCAATTTTTTAATGATATTTGCAAATAAAAACTTCAGACTTTAAATTAGCTTTTGTGAGTTTTTGTAAGATGGAATTTAAAATAAGTTGACTTAAATAAATACATAAAAAATTGTATAATTTTTTTATATAATTTCAATACAAACTTATTTTATATAATACACTTAATGATATAATTTAAAGTTTAATTTATTTAAAAAATTATTTCCACAAAATAATAAATTTATTTTTATGTCATTACCAGTACAGTGCAAACACTGTTAAACAGATTAACGTACAAACGATTATCTTTCTTAGCACTGCAAAGTTGCTAAGACTCACACTGCATGGCATCTTCTAACAGATCAAATACTGGCTGAACGAATCGATTTACAACATTTCAGAACACTCTATTTTTTACGGAAATGAAATTTATTAATTGAATTCGATTGGAACTTTTAATGTTGTTGATGTTGTTTGTCTTCAATGCGATTTATGGTTTTGAAACATGAGTCGCTCAATAAATGAGAACCTGCGAAATGTTCAAAGGTGTTACTAGGAAGTTCACTCTCCTTCATTGAAAAGTTTGTTGCTTCTTTACATTGGATTTTCGCATTAATCTTGATACCAGAGTGCGAAAACATCTATAGAGAACCTCTATTGACTCTCACGTCCTTATAAACCAAAACAGATGATTGCGCTTGACTTCTATTGACTGTTTTAAATAATTATAAATATTGACATGAATGGTTGAATTAATTATTTCAGTTTATGTTTTTATAAATTACTCAATAGGACAATTTTTTAGCAGAGAAGACTGTTTGGTTTCTCATGACATTTAACACTTTTGTAATACTAGTATAAGTATTTTGAGACTGATCTTACTTACAAAAATTACGCTGTTGGATTCATTGGCATATAAAGATAATGCAGTTGGGTGAAAAAACCTTAGAGTTTTGTAAAGAATAATTCTTTCATTCATGTAACCAACCTAAAATTATTTTTTGAATGGAAGCGGTTCAAACAGTATGGAAGGATATATGCTAAAAGCAGTGCAATTGAAGAGCATCTAACAAAATTATTAGAAATACGTAATTTCTAATTCTTTATAAATTAAAAACACACACAGTAAGAACTTCCAAAGAAAATAATTTATTTTGGTTTTAAGGGTACAAAACAAAAGTTACCAGCATATTTTTTTTTTGTGGACAAGTTATAGTAAGTATAGTTTTATTCAGGATTTTATATGCTGCTTTCTCGTTAATAATGCAGTGTGGCTACGTACAAAAAACTGTAGAAAAGTACGGCGATTGTAATAAGAAGCTATGTTACAGCACTAAATTATATAAATACTATTCTTAATTGTATATAATAGTAATTGGTCTATATAGTTTAATTGTAACTCATTGAACTTATGTTTGTGAGGATTTAATATAATTGTATATAATGTTTAGTCAGTTTATGTGCTTAATTTCATTGGTATATCTTACTTAATTATTTGATCTTGTTAACCCGTTACCGGGTTTTAGCCTGACGAAACATGTTTCTCCAAGCGCCTTTGCTGCGTATACGCCTGCTCCAGTCTCGTACATCAAGTCCGGTTAGTGCTTCTTTGACTTGATTAGACCACCAGAGACATGGTATGCCTCTACGCCTTCTTTCTTCAAATACTACTTGCATCTTTGATATAATGTATTGTATAAGTGCATAGCTATATATAATAGAAGCTATAAAATAGGTATATAGTAACTTGGAAATTTATGTGCTCACTTTATAAGTGAGGTCTTAGCGGAGAAATTATAAGCTATTTATTCATACCTCTTCAATTTGATTCACGGATCATTTTTAACCCTCTTGTGGTTGGAATCCTTGGGCAAGTTTTCGTATTTCATTTTTAATAATTTTTATTTGTTATAATGTAGAATATTCGAAGAAGTGGAAAAGTTGACCATGTTTGCATCCAAATTTAGAGGGGTTGCGGTTGATTGTTGATAGGACTCAAAATACATACAAAAGAGAGCCCATCTCAACAACTATAACTAAGAACAATTTTATTTTAATATTCTCTACTGGTTCATAGTAAACCGAGTTTGGATCTTTCAATTTTAATTTTCCAACACTGTGTGTCAGTATTCGCTTAAAAGAGCATTCACTGTATTTATAATTTTACGATTTAATTATAAGAAAATACTACTTTTTACTGTTCGTACTGTTCGTAAAGTACGAAAGCAATAAAATGAAATTGAAATGTAGGTTACATTCTGAGAAAAAGAAGCCTAAACAAATTTACGAGTATTTAATTTGTAGGTTGAATTTTAATTAGCATTACACAATTTGGCATTGCACAATATCAATATTTAAATTATTTATTTTTTTTTTATATATATTACATACAATTTATTTTTATTTAAATTATTATTTGTTTAATTTCCGTTATAGTCAGCATATCGAGTATTCACTTGACATAGTCGAGTAGGACTGGTCATTAACCCAAAAATTTGTGTTCTCTTCGATTTGTGCCGCATAAGAGTTTTCAGTGCATTAACCCTTTAACATTTACAGAAATGGCAATAGTACCCAACTAAAAATAATATTGAAAAATATTGCGTACATAAAGAAATATTTGAAAAAATAATTTATTTTTATTTACGCACGTATTATTTTCAAGCAATTCCTTTTTAGAGTTGGGCACGTACAAGTTAGTCGTCTGAAAAACAAAAAAAAAAACAAAAAGGAAAAACTATTTTTTTACTTGAACTTAGGAGTACCTTTTAACTCGTTTATTCAAGTGATAAATAAGGTGAAATGTTCTTTTACCTGAAAAGTATCAGCGCGTAGGTGTGTCACAGCGTTTAAGTGAGCAACACTCGAACCATCTAAAGCAGCATAAAATTTAATAATTTAGTTGCAATATATCTTTCTTTGAGTTTGCCACCAGCTATCTTCATGAATGTGTTTGCAGTGCTACTTTTTGTTGTACCGCTTGGCCTTTGCCTGCTTAAGGCAGACATAAGCAATAAATATTTAAATTAAACGTTTCAACTTTCTTTTAAAAATATATAGAAAAGATAAAAACAAAGGAGTTGAATGCAGCAACTTACCTTTGCCATATTTTCCACAACGGCGTGCGGTTACATTTTAACAGCATTACCTACTATTACCTACTACAGATCCACTCTGCTCACAATATTGGTGTTTGCCAATAATACTTTTAGACTCTCAACAATTTCTAAATAATTTTATTTAATTTTTTTTCTTTCTATTTTTTATTTTTATATTTTTTTTATATTAATTTTCTTGTTCACTTCTTGCTTTATGCATAGTTTTCCTTTGCAGTTTGCTGGCTTTTGTTTAGCTCACAACTTCTTCTGTCTACTGTTAAATTCATGAAAAAGCCAAGTCAACTTACGTGACTTACATACGAAAGGCGTACATTTTCCTAACACTTAACCGCACTTCTACGTACTTCTACGTACTTGCACGTAACCATATTCCAACTGTATATACATATATATATATACATATATATAAATATTTGTACATATACGAGTGTGTCTGTTATTTGGTGTATGTTAGACACTTGGTAGGTACGTTTTAGTTTCGCATTGACACCATCAAAGTCTTGACTTTGGTTTATTTAGTACTTATAAGCGCTGTAAGTAACAGTGCATACAACATTTACTGCTCCATCTACTGCAACATCGTGCCATATCTACACATCAGCACATACTTCAACTATTGCTCTATTACTTAGTCATATTACTAGTTGTAAGTTCTATTGAAGTACTGTTAAATATATATTCACTGCGTATGCTTTACGATTACTTGATATTTCGAACAATCGAACAATGCCATTTGATGCTGGATTATTCGAATGTTTTGGATACATGTGTGTTTATACGTTGTTTGTTATTACACGGTTTGAGTGAGGATGGCTCGTTGAGAATGTATTTTTTTTTTGTTTTTTGTTTTGGTATTTTATTTTTGATAAAGTTTATTATTTTACTTTAGGGATATTGTTGGTTTTGGCGCAAAGCTTTTATAGCAAAAATAAAATATTGAAAGAAAATTTTATTTGTTTGCAAAATTTTTGCATACACAAGAAAAAAATGTTGTGTCCCAGCATAAAAGCAATTTTAAATTGCTATTGTATTTGTTGTTGTTTACAGAGAATAATATTTACTTTATCACATTTATTTTATGCTTTGTGTATGACTAATATAATTTTTATGTCAAACATATATGACAAACAAATGTCATATATAAAAATATTTTACATATAGTAACATATTGAAAATAAAAATAAAATTTAAAATATAGAAAAATGGAGAAATAAATATTAAAAAATAAATTAAAATAAAACTACAACTAATGTAATATAATGAAATGACAAAAAATAGTATAAAATTATTAAAATATATTTTCTAACTCATAAAATAAAACTCAAAATTTCTTAAAAGGGATAAGCAACTATGAGTTTTTTATGTACCTTTCGATCAAAAAAGAACGAGAGGCCTATTTTTGAATTCCTGCGCTTATCCAATCGGTAAATTTTTTTTATTTTCACGCTGGATAATTATTTAAACGCATATCGTACGATTAGTTTTTGTTTGGTGTCTATACAAAAAGTCGAAAAATTTTCGTGTGGCGATTTTTACCTTATGGGCTCTATGGTCTCAAAACACGTTCCTCGCAATGGCAATTTGAGTCGGGGGAAGAGGAAAAAGTATTTTTAAGTATCCAAGCTTTTTGCATGCTAAAAATGTTCACAATATTAGTGTTTATGAAGATTTTTACTAGATATTTTTTGTTATTTTTAACTATTTACAGTATAACTGTATGTAACTTCATGCCTTTTAAGTACTTCTATTTTATGTTTCATCTCATTACACATATGTTATATGTATATGCTAAGAGTTCATAAGGTGTAGACATATTTTATCATATTTGGGCTGCTAGTCTATGGTGTCAACTATATATATTTAATACTTATTGTATTTTGTCTTTTGTCACCTCGTATATGTGCATTTATATATATACATTTGTAAAATGTGTAATTTATTTAATATTTAAGTCAAACATGCTGGGCAACTCTTAATGTCTCTATCTTTGTCATCTCCCGATATTTTTCACGAGCGGTCTGCGTATCTGTTGACTGCCGGATGCAGGCTGCGTTCTTTGTAGCAGTAGTTTGGCTACACACGTCATTGTACCACTGGTTTTGTCACTGGGGACGTTGAAAATTAAGGACATCTTCCATAGTTGTGCGTAGGGAGTAAGATATATGTTCCCATTGTTATTCGGCATAATTGGGACGAGATGGTTAATTATGTAATTGGCGCGAGAGTTGAGTGGCGAACCCTTCGGCAGTCTCTCGCTTACCGACGTCAAATTTGAAATGCTCAAATATGAAATGCCCAAACACATTTAAATAGTATTTTTAACACTTAATATAATTTGTCAGTTTTGTTTTGAATTATACATCTTAATTATAACAGCGGTCATTCATGTCACCAAGTACATTTATAATATCTATCGATGCTGCATGTGAGATGTTGACTAGCTAGTTATATGCCATTTCGTTGCTTGGTTAAGTCGGTCCAATTAGGTAAAATAATTTTGAAAAAAAATGCATTTTGATTGATTTTTTAATTGTTAGTTCTACAAACTAACTTTTAAGCTTTTAACGTTAAAATAATTTATCATCAATTATTTTGTAAAATAATGGTTTATGTATAGAAATTTTATAGTATTTGTTAGTTAACCTGTCTTTTAATTTATTTTCTTCATTGAAACAATTAAAAGCTTCCATTTTAATATAAAAACTTTTGTTTTTAAGTATTTAATAATATAACCATTGAATAAGAAAAATAATGCTTTCAAATTGATATGCCATTTGTCTGAAAAATAACCCTAATTTCGTGAGAAATCTTTATCTAAGCTTGTGTATAAAAAGTTTTAAGTGTTGTATTCAATGGCAGCGAAAGTTTGAAAAGTTTACATATACTTGAAAGACAAAAGAAAGAAGGGGCGGTAGATTGGTACGATAACAATTCTCAACTTGGCAGCACGACTCAGTAGAATGAAAACTTCTAAACAATGAATAACGTATACTTAAACTTAAGTCAAACCAAAGCAAACAAGCCTCATTTAACATTCAAGCATAAACCTTAAAGAAAAAAAATCAGAGTATGACACTGCAAGGAAGGAAAAAATCCCCAAAGTCAAATCAGCAAACAAAGTCATACGCTTCAATCGAAAGATTGACAAAAGGAAATGTCATTCATATGACAACAATATTAAGTATTGAAACAAAAGTCTTCTTTTATGCTTTTGTAGCAACGACTGTTGGAGGTTTTGTTGTTGGCAACTTTAAGTGAAGATACTTATGCGAGTACCATAAGTACGGAGTAAGAAGTAAATAAATAAAGGCATTATTTACATTTTATTTCGTTTTCTGTATTTTGTTTTATAAAGTGTAGTAAAGTGAAGTAAAGTAACAAATTTGCTAAGTTAATGGGCAATATAATTACACAAAAAACGAAAAACAAAGCGAAAAACACACAAAAATGTTAAAAGTAAAATCTTAAATCCAATATTGAATTGAATTCAATCCCATTCAATACCATTCAATCCCAAACAATCCAATTCAAACGCTTTCAATCACATTCATTACAAGTCAATTGAATTGGTTTTATTTAAGCGCTCTTACGTTTTACGCATAATATACTTTGATGAGCTTCATCTGAAGTAAATCACAAGCAATTAACGCAAACATTTGCCGCAGATTTGCCAATTTAAATATTTGCCAAAAATAAAAAAAAATACAAATAAATATATAAAGAATGAAATAAATAAACATAAAAAGGAAATTTGAAAAGATTAAAAGAAATGTTAATAAATTGTGCTACATTTTTATTAACAAACACAAAAAGGGAAAAAAAATTTTTTTATGAAAATAATTTTAATGTTCTGCAATTTGTCGTTTACTTATTTTGGTCGATTCACTGTTATTTTTTATTCAATTTTTTGTTATTGTTTTTCTCCATTTTGCTCTTCTGACTGTTCAAAATGGTTTTAACAATTTCCGGTCGAGAGAATATGAAAATAAAGTCCGATAAGTAACGCATAAATGCGAGTTAATGCCGCACAGCACTCGAAGCTAAAATGTCTTAAAGTCGCTTGACGCTTTAATAAAAAGAATATAAATTTGTTTGGTATCTACTTTTTTCAGAAATTGACTCATTTAGGTATTTATTTCATTTCATCATTCAAACAAATTTTCGAACAATACACTTTTCTGTGTATAATAAAGTACCAGAAATGCATAAAAATCTTATTAATGAATTTCAAACGTTAGCACGCTCAGGTTAAGCTTACTGCTTACTTAGACTCCAGCCAACCAGTTTATGCTCGACGCACTTTCTTCAACTTTTATGTGGTCATAAAAAATTTTAGCTGAACTTTTAATTGTTTGCTTGTCTCCATTTTGTTTATTTATTTGCACTTCTTTATTATAGTAGCTTTCAATATCTTGTATCTACGTTTTTTTCACTTAACTAACCTATAAAAAGTGAAATTCCATTGCAATAAACACGATTGCTTATAAAAACAAAAGTGCGCGCATCTTATGTCGTTCAAACAGAATCTACCAAAAATCTTTCAGAGATTTTTGAACAAACAACGACTCCAAAAAAAAAAAAGTAAAAACTATAAATGAACAGTTTTTAGCTCATAAGCGTAGTCAGCGGGAGTGAGGGGTCAAAATGATACATTTTTGTAATATTTTACTTTATTGAGATGCATACATAAATTATGTTAATTATGAAAAATAAAGTAACAAAAAACAAAACAAATGTTTTTCAAATGAAATAATCAATGAACTTTAGATCATGATTTCTTTCTTCTTCTTAGAGTCCGTTTCCCATAATGGGGCATAGGACCACAACGATTCTCTTAAACCGCACT